CCACAACCAATACTACCACAAGTAATACTATTATTATTGTCTAACATCCCCCCTCAAGCTGAACTCTGGCTGAAGCAAGAGGAAGCTTGGACACTAGCTCGAAACTGGAAACTTTGAAAGGAGAGAAATTTGACGTGCGTCGGTGGCTGCTGACGTCGTTGGAGAAGAGAGAAGTCTGACGTGCGCCGGTGGCTGCTGACGTCGTTGGAGAAGAGAAAATTCTGACATGCACTGTTAGCTGCTGGCATCGTTGAAGAAGAGAGAAATTGACGTGCGCTGGTAGCTGCTGACGTCGAAGAAGAAGAGAGAAGGTTGGCGTGCGCTTGTAGCTGCTTACGTCGAAGAAGAATAGAGAAGGCTACTTGAGGTGCCTGTTTGATTGAAGATTCTTGACATTCTTTGTCTTTTTCTTGGATCGAGCAATGCCCTATTTCCTTCTTGAAGGGGTGAGTTGTAGAGGTCTTCTTTCCTCTTTCACTACTTTCCCTCTTGGCTTTGCTTTTGTGCTGATTTACTTTGAATTTTTGTTTGTTGAACAGAAGAGAAAAAGAAGGGAGATTGATGATTAGAATGAGTGATTTGAGAGAGAAAAAAATGCAGTGGGTTAAGAATTGTGATGGAAAAAGAATTTGGGTCTTAGATTTTGATACATACGGTGAATTAGAGAGAACCAACAATATTTTTTTTCTTTTTTTTTTTTTTGAGAAGATAGGATGATCTGAGAGAATTTGTAAGGAATTGGGGGGTTTTTTTGAAGAACCATGGAGATGACAAGAGATAAGTTCCTCCTTTGATAGTTTTTTTTTTGTGTGATTTCAACAAGGGTTTTTTTCTTCTTTTTTTTCATTTGAGTGGAGAAGTTGATTTGAGGATAAAAAAAGAAAAAGAAAATAGAGCTAAGGTGAACAGGGTGGAGCCGCCGTCGCCGGAATTACCGGCGGCAGCGGCGGGAGCAAAGAACTCTTTTAGGTCACCAACACTACAAGAATAAGCTAGATCTGCAACGACAATTTGCTACGGACATTAGTCTGTCGCAGATCTGCTATGACTCTGCGATGGAAATCTCAAATTTGAAAACCCACTTAATATTTGCTACGGAGCACAAGTATCCGTCGCAAATCTGCTACAAATTGATAAATTCCCTAGCAAAAGTTTACTTAACAAAAACCTTATCCTCTTTTCGGATTATAGCCTACCACAAACAACCCAAGTTTTTTTCGTTGCAGCCGCTTACGCCGATTTTGGTCTACGTTGATTGCCGCCTCGCCTCCTCGCTGCTCGTCTCTAGGCGTCGTCCATCACGTGACCTTTCGCCTCCGCCTCCGCCTCCTGAAACAACTCGATCGTCGCTGCATATTCTACATCTTGAAGCTACCAGTTGCTACACTGCCCTTCCATTCGTTGCCTCGCGTCGCACCGCCATCCTTCACCTTGCGCTGCCATCCACCTCCTCGCTGCGCCATGCCTCCCCACATTTTCCGAGCTACAGTCTCAACATCCTCCCAAATAAGGTTTTTCTTTAATTTTATGCCATTTAAATTTATTGTCAATTTTGATGAAGTTCAATCTATTTATTTTTTTTTTGAAATTGAGAATATTTTAGGTAAAATTGAGTTGAAATTTACATGAAATTGGTAAGTTGTTGAAGGTTAGTTGGGTTATACATAATTGTGCATTATTTGAATGATTTATTTTGGTTTTGTGATTGCCCT